AAGCCCCCTCCTCGCCGGCCCACAAGGCCCACCACCCCTGCCAGTGTTACGGCTGGACTCCCCAGGAAGTATCCATCAAAGACAACAGAGAGGCCAACTTGCTGCTGCTGCTTTATTGGCTCTTTCAGAAGGATGCAGGGCCTCGATGTGCTCAGTGTGATTCTGGAGGAAGTAGAAGCAAGATTACCCACTAGATTGGAGTTTCACACGGGGAAAAGCAGGACACCCAATCCCTGCCAACATGGAGTGTAGGCCTACAGCAAGACAACACAATTAGACTTGTTTAGAAACCCTAGCAGAAGCACGGCCCAGGTAATTGGACCTTGATTGCCAGCAGCACTGCAAGTACCACAGTGTCTTGTTTTTGTTAGGACCACACAGCTGGGTAAGAAGCTGTGGCAAAAACACAGCCTTCTCAGAATCTCAGTTCAGAGAGGGGGCAGTGCAGGCAAGCCCTGAAGGAAAGCTCAGAACTCATTTGGAGATCTTCAACCCCACAGAAAATTAACTCTGTTTAGTGAATAAACATAAGCTTTTGTCTGTTGCTGATCCATTTCAAACCTGCCTGTATGACGAGCAAGACTGTTTGCCACATATGGGGCGTGCTTTGCTCAAGGAGTGCTGCTACAGAATTGCTGTGATGCTCCTATTCAGTGTTTCCATCCTTCTCATCAGGTAACGCTCTGTAGAACAACTGCAAACCCTAAAAGATACATCTCCAAGAAAGCAAACACACTGGTGAAAAGTAACGACAATAGAGATGCGACAGCTGTGGCATCATCTGTCAGAAGGCTCTGTGGGTAATTTTTTTCTCCGTAAAGACGTTAGGTCAGCTTTGGTTTTAAAATAAAAGAAAATGACCTTACAGTGTACTGCTACACTTTGTGCCTAAGCTCATCAGAACTGGCAAAGACACATAAGAGGTCAGTGTATTTTTACTGTTTAGGGAGGAGTGGAGCATGTGTTGGTTATGCTGCCAATGTCTAAGAAAGCAGTGTCAGTAGTAGTTGCAGTCAACTGGAAAGTCTTAGCTCTACCTGAGCTGGCCTGAAAGAGGGCTGGCTCTTGGCCTGGGTTGTTTTCTCCCTTCACTTAGATCTGCTGGTATGGCTGCTTGGGTCATCACTCCCTAAGCAGTGTCTGGCAGAGTGATCCGAGTTCAGGTAAGCCTGTGTAAGCTGGTCCCTATCAGTTTGACAGAATGAGGTTAAGGAACTGCCAGAGATGTAGTCTGGGAAGAGGGTGTGGTATAAACTCAGTCAGAGGTTAACTTTGTAACCCAGCTCTGTTGCAGCTGGGCTTGTGTTCCGGTTTGGATTGAGAATGCACTATAATGTTACAGAGTATTGTTTCATCTGGTAGCCTTCACAGGGCAAAACTGGCAAAAGTGTGATTCTTTTCTCTAAACCCAGGCTGCTAAACACTCTGCATATGCTAAGAGGGAGCAAGCCCTAGCCAGAGGAGCTTTGTCTTGTTTTCTGTCTGGGAAATGGGTTTCTTGAAGCTGTAATGCCAGTCTGCAGAGTATGTCAAGCTTTTTCTTGGTTGTATAGGTAGTATTCATAGTTTTTACAAGTAACTATGGTGCCGTTTACTGGTCACTGCTGCCTCTCACATCCACAGTTCTCAGACCTGCTTGTTATGTGGTTGACAGTGCCCACAGAAGGGCCCTTATGTCTGTTCACAGGAAACTGCAGTGCAGTGATACTGAATCCAGCTTTGTAGTATATGCATCTGAATTATACTGCCTGCTGAATTCAGCCAGGGGTTGTTGATCTGCTTTGTATGATGCTGCAGATGCTGTTACCACACTGTGTGCTGTGCATTGCAGAGTCTAAAGAGGTGCTGAGGCTCTAGTGTGTGATTCACATAAGGAAAAGGAAATGAAACAAATTGTGTCCAATTTCCAGAGTTCATCATTCTCTTGTTTCTTACGCAGGGCAGGTCGCCAGAATCCAAATGGCTCTCTTGAACAGGTGGCTGGGTTTATCCTTAACCCACCTAAGCAGCACAGTGATCCAGCGACACTTCAGGTAACTTTAAAATCCTGCTTCTGCTTTAGTTTTCTTAGGAGAATTTCCTGATTGAAAGATATGCTGTTAAGTAGATCAAGCATAAGATACAGCATCCTTCAAAAAGGATAATGAAACAAAATCTCATAGTTGTCTCTACACAGCTTGTAAAGTCATCCCAAACACAACAGATTCAGGCTTCCAGCAGTCCTTGTATGGTCTAAACTCTGCATATTTGTGTGCTTGTAAGGAAGCTTTTGACAGCACTGCAAGCAGAAGTTGGAAGTGCCTGTGTTTCTCAGCCAAGTCCAAAAAAGCAACAGCCAGCCCCTGCTGATGTAAAGCAAATTACACATTTAAAATTATTCTAGAGTTTATAATTTCAGTTATTCAGAATCATTGAATCATTTTAGTTGGAAAAGACCTTTAAGGTCATCAAGTCCAACTGTTGAAGACAGGAGTAGAACAAGAGTAACTTGAAAAATTGCCTTGTACCTTAACAGTGTCCATTTTGTTATTTTTCTTTAGGTCCTTGTTCCAGGCTCAAGGCATTTAAAGCTTCTTAAATTTATGGGCCTCATGTTTTACACTGCCTTTCACAAAGCTTACAGTCTAATCCCACAGTGCACTCAGTGTGAGTTTGGGGAATTTCTCCCATATAGCTCTTTGAAGGGTCAGGGCTTCAATTTATAGGGTGAGAATAGTCATTCCCATGACTGTGGTCTAGAGAGGGTATTAAGGCAATGCTCAGGACTAGATTGTGTGATAGTCCCAGGAGCTGTCTTGAGGAGGTATCTAAGTCTTTCTGGCTTTCTCTGTAAATAGGCTATGTGAGAGCATTGGCCAGTAGACATTTAAACAATATATATGTGCTAACGGCAAGAGAGAGGCCAAGAAGTGAGCAGTGCTGCTGCAGGACATCAGCAGTCTCAGTAGGGAAACCTTTTATTTGTGCTGGGCCTGCTTTGGATGTGATGGGGTTTTGCTCCAAGGCTGTGGTAGAAGTGAGGGAAGGACAGGGAAGGGCAAGAAAGGAAAAGCCCTTCTTGTGCAGTTACTCTTGTCTAGTGGTACCTGGGCCATCACACTTAGAGTTGTTTGCTACTGCTGCTTTGTGGACTTGATCCCACCTAAGTTTCCCCTTCTTCCTATAACAACACTCTTGTCCCTTTCCAGCCTCTTCCCTTCTGCCTTCCCAGCTGTGCAGCCATAGCTGGCAAGCAGATCATAGAGTGTGGTACACCACAGTCACTGCCAAGGCATGAGGTGGGTGAGGGTGGCTGCTTGCAGGTGTCACTGACTTCTGAGAGAGAAGAGAGGTGTTCTCTAGGGGAAAGCTGGGTTAGGTCTCTGCTGTGGGGAACAAATCTTGAAAGGCAGCACTGGACCTCTGAGCAATTTGACTAATGGAGACTGACTGAGCCAACCTTTCTGTTCTGCACATAAAAATGTCTGCTTTGACTGATGTCCACCCATGCTGTGTTTGATGTGCAGGGGATGGCTTGTCCTTCTGCTAGGCAGCATTGGGAATATAGGTCCTTTGTCTAGAAGAAGGGGTGGTGGTTGCCATTGGTGGTCTTTAATTTACTGCACATGTTTCTGCTCTGCAAAACAAGGTGAATGAGGTTGATTCCATGTGCTG